TGACAGGGTAAATGCTTTTGTGAGATATGCGGAATATGCAAGCGATTTTGTTATGCCCGTCGTTTGCGTCTCTCCAGCAAAACAAATAAGATGATCTACTACAAAGGCGCAATCACAAGCCAAGATTTAAGATAGCAGTCGTTTGCTTCGGTGATCCGTGTAGCAGTATTTTACCCTGCTCTCTGCAACACCGTGTCGTGACGAAGAGCTGGAACGGTCACGGTTTGTGCTGGCCTCCCGGTTGACAGAAACCCGCGTCGCCCGCATCAGCACCGAGTGCGCTTGGGCTGTTGATGCTCAAGTCTTTCATCCGCGGCTTGTCGCCAGCTCATCCTGCTGCTCAACGGTGAGGAAGCGGCGAGAGTAACCTCGGAAGTGAATGTAAATCCTCGTTCATTCAGTTATCCGGTGTCAAAGTGTGGAAGATGTCCAACGTGTACTGAGGGCGGGAACTACGAGCGTTTTGCCTCGCTTTTATTACCGAAACCAGACCAACGTGATAACTGCCTTGCGTACTCTAAAATGACGGAAGCAATAAGTTTCAACAGGTCGAGTACATCACCGGGGATGTAGGCGAGACGGTGCCCACTGTTTAAACGCTTGCAGTATCCACGAGTGGTACCAGGAAAGCGACGTCAACAGAGAAGGAGCTCGCGATTCAGCATAATGCACTGCTACGGGCCCGTGTATCTTCAAAGTTCGGGGTGGTGGCAGTATACAAAAAAAGACGCAGCAGCGCCCCACACCAGTGTTCACGAATAACACCGGTCACAAACTTCCAAGCCCCACCGCTCTTCTCGACACCGACACGACATACGACAACAAACTGCATCAAAACGCCCCAAAAGTGAAGGCGTCTGCTCCCGTACTGCAACTGCTGCAACTAGCGGAAGTGAAGTGTTGGGCGGATGTCCGGATGTCCTTCACAAAAATATATAAAAAAATGCTTTGTGCAAGGATCATTTTCATTTATTATTGTATACGTAATGCCAAAATCCCAATAATTTGTTTTCCTATCGATTCAAGCTAGTCGGTCTGCTCATAACACTGGTCAAGCAAGAAAATAACAAAAATTTAAACTTTTTCATGACCGGTTTAAGATTTATTGTTAATATATCGTTATTTATTGCAACGGACTAACATTATAGATTTTGCCTCCATACTTTTGAAATGCAAACAGTTCTAACACACGGCTGTCCATTGCGCCGTGTTTTGTGTATTCTTCTATAAATCTGTAATGGTCAGCGACCAAAGAGCTCACCCGCACATGTCAAGCTTATATGCGCCGCGGGGAGAAGTGGATATCGAGTAGGAAGTGTCGGGCGTAGTGTCGTTGTTGTGTTTGTGTACATGTCGGTGATGTGTAACTGTGTGCTGTGTTGCCTGCGTTGCATGTAGGGTTGCTGTGTAGTCGTGGTCGTTCGCAGTGTTAAGAAACTCGTCTTTTTTTTAAAAACAGGCTGCTAGAAATCTCGATAGGTGGCGCAAGTTACCGCCCGATTCTAAATAGTTTGCTCAAGGTATTTATCCATGTGTGTTCGGCATTCGTTTTTTTTTTTTTTTTTTTTGTCTAGCGGTTTGTTGAAGCTATTGACGCCGCCGACCGCCGACAACGCACGTACGTACCTTTGCAAGTAGCTACGTCCGCCGCTTGGAGACTTTACGACTTTACTGTGTATAAAAGACATCGAACGAGAACTAACGCGCCCTGTGTGCTTTCAATTCGGCTGAAAGGCGCGCGGCTCGCTGGGCTCGTCTCTCGCTTGTTCTCGGCCGCTGGCCGCCATGTTTCATAAGGAACACGCTCGAAACGGTTTTGCGGAAGGCAGACACGGTGTAGCGTGTTAAGTTTACACAGCACCTCATGTGTAGACGAAAAACACAGATGGCCTCGTGTAAAATGAACACGTTTCGACGTGCCCGCTATGGGACAACGGTTTACACGTCTGGGCGTGTTATTTTGGCTAACAGTGTAACGGAGGGCTAGCGGAGGGGGAAACACGGTCTACTAAAACTCTCTATTAAGTCGTTTTCAACGCTCGCGAGACGTGACTGTGAGAGCGGCGTTCTGGCGTTCCATCATGCACGAGCTACGGTCCAATACAAGCGTCCCTCAGCGTTTTACGATCTGCGCTAAAAAGAGACCGGGAGGACTAAACAATCAACAAAATAAGTCTGCCACCCTTTACACTTTTCAGTTGATTTCTTAGCTTGACATTTACGAGCAAGGTGGATGAGCGTCAAGTACGCACAATGGACCTTTTCCACATACCGACGGCACCTGGCGGTGGCTGCACGAACTAAAAATCGAAGAAGTGACCTACCTGCGCTACCTATCGATACCGGGAGGTACGCTACCAGTTTCTTCGCTCTCCGAGCTGCGTCGCGTGCCCAACGCGAGCTTAAAGATGGGCATCCGTGGCGCCCACCCAATCGTTGTTTTTCCTTCCGTCCGCTTTCTTTTTTTGTGTAACCCAATTATATATATGCTGCAATTACATGTTCTACTCACTTATCCACAGGCTCATTCCGAATTTCCTCGATTTTTCGTTCCGACTTCCGCCGCTTGGCATCGGGCGCTCGCGCGTGCGCAGAACGCTTCTCGGAAAAGGTCGATTAAAACGTGACCTAAAAATAATCGCTTTGGGAGGACAGGTGCGCTGCAAAACTTTAGGGCTACTTGCCTTTCGAAGCGAAATGACTGGAACATACCTGGGCAAATTTATGAACGCCCTATTGCTACCTGCCGAACGGCTCGTAAATTTTTGAAAGGGTAAAAACAGCGCAAAAACGACACAGACAGAGAAGATGTACACACACAGAGCGCTGACTTTGAGCTGTTAATTTCAAACAGAGCGCTGACTTTCAACTGTTCAATATCGTAAAAGCTTACCTCTGTAGGTATCTTTTCGGCATACCGAGAGCAAGTCCTCCTCTTCTTGCTCAGGGGTTGAGGTGACGTCATAACGACGCCGTGCTCTGATTGGTTTTGATTGGAAGGACAGTGGGTAGACTCCAATGCTATATATATGCCTTAAGGTCTACCCGCTAATTTTTTTATGTTTTTTTTTTTTTTTCAATCAGCCAATAGACCTTTTGCTGTATCCCCCAAGCGCCCTGACCGGCAGAAGAGGAATCATGGGAACGGTGTTCCTTCAGCCCCCTAGTAATCGGCAATTTTGACCAATTTTATGGTTACACAGTTTTGAGTGTAGGTAATTCGGAGTCACACTGAACAAGCTGCGTATAGAGACCAAGAACCTGTCATATCATTTCTAAAATTTCTCGTCAGTGTCAGCGTTTTTAATACTGCGCATCCGATCCACCTTTCTACCTGGCTGAGCTGCAGAAATTTCTTACAATATTATTATTCTCGTGATTGTTATTTTAGCAGGAATTGCTTAAAAAGCAATAAATTCCCAATAACCAAAACCATGATTTAGCTCCAATTCAGCGGGACTGTTTATAGCATTTTTAGCGTTTCTGACTTAAGCGTCTTTGAAGCTGTACAAAAATGATAATAATGTCGGAGATTTCGGCAGCTCAGCCAGGTTGAAGGGTGGACAGTATCTAGAGTATCGAAAATTCTGACATTGACGAAAATTGGTAAAAGTAATATTATGGGTCCTTGGGCTCTATACGACGCTTGTTCAGAGTGACTCCGAATTACACTCAGAAGTCTGTAACCATGCGAATGGTCGAAATCACCGATCACTAGGGAGCCGAAGGAACACCGTTCCCATGATTCCTCGAGTGCTGGACGGAGTGCTTGGGGGATTTAGTAAATGGTCTATAAGAGCTCGGCATTCTGACATCAACGCAACCCCCGTGCAAGAGTCAGGCGAACTTTCACTCCTCATTGGAATCATGGTCGCAATTACGACGGTTGCACAATTTACAGAGCAGCGAAGCGGTTTTTGCGGAAACGAACATCTTTGTTTAGCATCAACACGCGCAAACAAATCGATCAAGCGGAATCAAGCAAAATGGTTTGCGTGGGACATTATGGGCAGTCCCACTACAAAGCACCTGCACAGGGCCTACGAGGGCGCCTATACTTACGACAGTTGTTTGCTGCAAATCAGGTCGGTTGAAGAGATCTTCCCCTGAGCACCTCGGTGAAGGCAAAATGACTCGCAATCCTAAAACCAGACAAGCTGAACGAGCTACGCGACTTGAGCACGCCGCAAACGTCGGCAGCCAGGTTTGTTATCCTTTTAAGCCAAAGCGGAAAAAGCAGTATCGGGATATTTTTAGAAAACAATAATGACTCTCTCTAGATTATTTGTTTCTCAAACATTGAAAAAGAAAATACAGTCCGTAACAATGCTATGGCGGGCAAAAAGAGAAACAAGTTTCCAACGAACATTTCCCACGTCAATCATCCCTCCAAAGGATGAGAGCCGAGAAAAGGCGCCTAGCTTTAGCGAACCACCTATCGTTATGTGCACGGGATCTAGAGCAGGGCTATGCCTGCAACGAAATGGCATCTAACAACGTAAATATTGCACAATATATATATATATATATACACATATATCGTGTATGGAAAAACTAAAAAAAAACCAGTGCTTTCTATCTAGGCTTTTAGTTTCTTTTTTTCATTTTCGAGTTTTTTTAAGTCTTGCTTGAGGCACGTCGGGCGATAGTCGGGACCTTTCGTCTGCAACGAACAACGTGCATTTAGTCTGATGTCTGTACGAGCAGAGCGACTGCAGCTTTGCACAAAGATTAAATTAAGAATCCTCACTGATAAAAAAAAAATGGGGATTGAGCGCAAAGAATGCCCCGCGTTGCGTATAGTCCGGCTCCCCAACATGGCGATGGCCGATCGAACATTTCCCGTGTCCGCAATTGTGGAGAGGAAAGGCAAGATTCAGAAAACTCGTCGTAGAGATCAGTGCTTTGCTCTCTATGTGTTGTTCATGTTTAGGAACATAAAGAGCCAAAAGTGTTCGAGGGTCCTTCCATCGCCATTTTATTGCGTACGTGGAGTCCATTTAAAACGGGTTCTCGGGCGGAACGTACGGGTGGATGTCGAGGGAACCATTAGGAAGGTGCTCGTGGATCCAATCTTGACGGTTATAACAAACGCCGTTGACGCAAAACTGCAAACAGAGTAGCACGCGTTAAGGGCTGCACAAACAGGACACGCTTTCTGGTGAGCACGGCAAAAAAATCTTGTAGGCTTCCCAAGAGATGAAAACGTTGCGGAGCGCGCGTTCGTTTTCCGCGGGGACATGAACCGTGCAAACAGAACGGATTCCTTCTCTCCTCGTAGCTGTCGTCCCCTCCCCTTCCTTGTTTTCAGGGTGCTGAGGACTGACAACAACAGCGGAGGCCTTGACGACGGTATGAGTGGATACGTTCTGGTCCTAAGGACACGGAGCTCCCAAAATAGTTTAAGAGCCTGTATCGCATATGTAGGGTGACCCAAGTCACCAGGCTCGACCTAAAATGGACCGTAAAAATAGACGCCTGCACGTAGCAATCTGAACTTTTCGTCAAAGGTGTATTTCACAGGTCGGTTTTTGCTTATAAAATTACAAAACGTAGCACTCTTTCTGTAAAAAATAGTGCCAAGAAACTTGCCAGAGACTACGGCGGGTGGCGGCGCAGACGACCAAGTCCATTAGCGGGAAGTGTTTGGTGTTCGTACTAGTAGACGGCGCTACCTGCTTATCGCAACAGCTCGCGTCCACCGCGGTTTATTACAATCAACATAATCTTTTTTCAGTGTACCTTTGGTTAAAAAAATAAATCCAAACAAAAACACCAAAACTTAAAAAAAAAAAAACGCGTCTCCACAACGACGGCGCTTTTGCTGCCAACGGATTTCCTCTCCATGTCGTCTGCTTCTTTCGCTGGTCGGCTGAACTTTCGGGCGTTGCTCCTGACGCCATCTATCGATACGAACGCCAAACACACCTCGCTACTGGACTTAGTCGGGCGTCGATATTTACGGTCCTTTTTAGATCGAGCCTGGTGACTTGAGTCCCCTTATATATCACGCAATGCACTCTCCGTCCCCCCCCCCCCCCTCCCTTTCCAGAAAAAAAGAAAAAGAAAAAGGCTTATGGGTGGGAGACTGTAAACACCGCGCGATACATCAAGATTTTCTCTTTAATTAAACAATTTACCACACAAGGCGCTTGATTTTAATTCCAACTTAATAATTAACTGAAACGTGTTAATGAACTTCTTAATTATTGGCCTCAGGGGTCACATTGCAATCGAAGTTTTGACGGCAATTATTATTAGAGATCAGACCAGTTGAAAAAAATGGCGAAAAGTTGGTTTCTAAGATATTAATCAATCAATTTTTGCGTTTTTTCGCTCGATCTAAGAATTAAACTCATAAAGAGTGCCGCAAGCCCCTCCCACAATGACGGTTGGAAGAGTGCCGTAGTCGTTGAAATCATGTCGTCGCTATGCCAACAGCGTGTCCTTGGGAATCGCGCCGACGAGACAAGCGAAGCTGTGTCTGTAACAACAACGTCCCTCTCTAAGCGTCATTATAATTAGCGTTTGCGGCGCATTTTCTTTTCATTTTTCTTCTTTTTTGCACAATTTTTAAGTCAGGCGGAAAAAAAAACGAAAATTATTCTATTATTAGGGACTTTTAGCAAACCGTTACCGTGTTTCGCGTACCCCACTACCGGAGCCTTTGAAGCATGCTGGGCTGTTCCCTCCATGTCGTGTCTTCAGTCTCAACGCTGTCTCAGGCTGGTCAAACGCAGGTGTCTGAACCGACATTAAAGGGGCACAGAGACGTCAAAGGTCCTATTTGTTTTTGTCGTCAAAAACTATGCAAGCTGTAGTATTAAACACCTAGAAACAAACAAAAGATACCCGAACGCGCAAACGAATTTCACGCACGCGCGCGCGCCTTTTTATTTTTGGCGCCCTTCTTTCCCGCTCCTCACCTCCTCGCTTATTTTTATTTGTGTCGTAATCGATTGAGAAATTTAGAAGCTTTGTAAGCGAAATATCTATAATATTTACCAACGGCATCCGTAAAACATTTTTTTTTTTTTTTTTTTTTGTAACGCAATCGCGAGCGCTCTACGGCCCTTATTTTTGAGATACCTAAAATCGTAGTCCGGAGTGATGTCGCATCCTTACTTAATCGTAGTCCGGAAACAGCAAGAACGTCACAAAATACGCAATATCCGGGAAGCGCACGAGCTACGCGCGCACAAAAACACGTTGGTTTGGATCGCGCTTAATGCAGCCGGTGGTAAGCAGTCACGAGAGGCTTAAACACCGGTCTTGACTCAGTCGGTCTTAGTCAAATGTGAGTGTGTGAAGGGGCTTTTAATCTTTCCCGTCGTAACCAGAGGTAGCTTTCTGCGATAGTCTATCTATGGTCATAACCTATATTATATGTAGTCCCTAAGCATCCTAAAAAAAAACAACATTACATTCATGTGTGACCGATGTTTCAATTACAATCGGTAACAAAGATCGATTGCCTCGGAATACTCTCGTTGAGACCTGAAGGCGCAGTCGCTAGAGGAAGGACAGGGTTCTGCCCTTCCTCAAGCCTCGTCCAACGGCGACCTCTGGTGTCTCGATCTTTGATACCAATTTTAGTAAAAATATCGCGAAGCATGATTTAATGTTTTTTTATTTTTTTTATTTATTTTTTAAGATTCCTGAAGCCGGTAGATTAAATTATGAGCATAAACAGCCTATCGCAGTAAGTGGTTTAGTGCCCCTCCTCTTTTTTTTAAATGTTGTCTGCCAGAAAACTACTTTGCCTAGAAAGAAGAGGGGGCAGTTCTGAAAGGGGACGCTCACCTTATTTTCGACGCCGCATCGAAGACCTTGTATTGCTGAAGTTTTATACAATGCTTGCTGCAGAGTGTTGTCCTCGAGGCAGCAGGTTAACTCGCAATCGTACACTGGATAGAAGCGGTGCGTCCCAGTGTCCTCTTCTCGCTTGATATACAGAAGGAAACACGCGAGAAGTCACATTACACGACTCGCTTTAATGTAGTGCGAACAGAACACGTCAGAGGGCTTTTAATTGCTATGAAAATATTTCCACAAGCTTGATCAGTCTTCCAGAACCCACAAACTTCTCTTTTTTTTTTTTTTCTTCAAAATTTAGCGGAGAAATTGAATTGGTTTATTTTTCACAGGACATCTACCTCTTTCTCCGAATTTAGCGAGGAAACCGGATATGTGTTGTTTAGGTCATGTGACGTTGATTTCCACGCCAAATTTGGCAAGGAAATGTGATTAATTTATTGGTCTATCGCGTGACATCGGGTCACGTGACGTGAATTTCTAAATTGAGCGGGAAACCTTGATTGGTGTAGAGGACACGTGATGTCAAGTCCCGACGTCAATGTCCCCGATAAATTTAGCGGAAAATCTGCACCGTGTAACGTTCTCAGCGTGTCGATCGTTCGTTACGATTTTCTCGTGGAAAACGGCCCATAAAACGAATTCTTTGTTAAAAAGAGGCCGCGAAATCTAAATACTTGAATCCAACATCGGAAGTGACTTAGACAAAGTAGATCGAGTGCGCTGAGAGTGTACGAAAGGCATCACGTTAGACAGAATACAGATTAAAAAAAAAAAAAAAAAAAAAATCCGATCAGTGTCTAATATGAAATTCGTGGATTGATTGATTGATTGATTAATTTAAACATATCTGAAGCACTGTTGCTGTTCTCAGCATCAGTCTGACGTAATCAACAGCCAGTTGCAAGGCCGTTGAGAGCGAAGAAGGATTCACACGTTTGCGGTTGAATGTGATTGAGTGCGCTCTGCCAATACCATCTATACTAGCGGACAATCGTGGGATTGCGCCAAGAAGCTCCTGAGTTTTGTGGTTTCGGTTTCAGTATCAGTTTTGGGCCTAAAAGGGGCGCATTTGAGACTGTTCACCTTTTCGTATGAGAAACGCGGTCGAGGGTGCTGAGCCGCGATTGCCGAGCATGCAGAAATGTCCGCGTCTTTCACTACGTGTCAGCCCCTTTTTAAATACAAGTCAACGCTTTGACTGGAGCACCTAGACCGACTTATATCCTTGTTACACGGGAACACTTGACTGCAGTTACGCTAAACCCCCGCTAGCCCACAATACCTGCGGACAACGTTTTGTGGCTACGCAGCTGGAGCGTCTTGCTCACCCATCAAAGCAGTGCACGTGAACTCTTCACTTCTGAAATAGCTGTCCGAGAGTATGGTGCGGTAACTGTGGTTTAGCGTAAGAGCAGCTAAAGATGAGTTAACTTTGGTTAAGTGTGCCATTGTAACAAAGGGTTTGCAATGTAAATGAAGCCGTGGTCAATTACGTAAAGTTCTATTCGTCTTGGGATTGACGCAGGTACGCTGGGTCGATTTAAGAAGTGCCGTGAATTTCATCAGCCCTTAAGTTTTAATGTCATTAACACGTAAATTCGTCTGGTGCTAAAAAGTCATAGTAGCAGTCACACGCGACGGCACGAGGTCAAATTACATTTGGATGGGGTTGCGGTGGGGGTGGGGGCTTGGTGGCGCACCGCAGCTCAAAGCACACGTATTGCGAAAGTTTGCGCCCGCTGCACAATTCATCGACCCTAGGCTAAATCCCGACCCCCGCTCGCGTACGACGGTATGCTCGCTAACCCTCCGGTATACGGGAACAATGGAGAGTCCCGGTTCCCAATGCCTCACTTGTGCGTGCACACGTTGCACACCGTGTGTTTCGTTCATTTTGGCAAGGATTGGTTGCCAGATTTCGCTAAAATCCTACGGAGGGCGAGCAAAATTGTGCGAGCTCACGGAAGGGACGTACACCACACGTGAGAAAGACGCCACGTTTGTTTTGCAGACTGGAGAACCTGCGGCGAACTTAGACTAAGAAAACCCCAAAGGAGGTAAAAACAAAATAAAATGTTACGAGTTTCGCATATAGCGCCGAGCAATCATAAGAACATTCTAAAATGCAAGTTTAAAATAAAATTTTTATCAAGCTTGCTCATGGCGACATCGGTCCTGGATCCACAACCAACCCAGTCGGAAACCGGAAAACACGCCGGAGCTTGAAATAAGTCGCTGCCAACCGGCGTCTAATGCGAGTCGTGTCGAGGCGAGTCGATTTGAGTTGAGTTGAGTCGAGTTGAGTCGAGTCGAGTCAAGGCGCGTTGAGGCGAGTCAAGTTGAGACGAGTCGAGTTGAGTCGAATTCAGTGAGTCGAGTGGAGGCAAGTCGAGGTGAGTCGACTCCAGTTTGAGTCGAGGCGAAGCGATAGAGTCGAGTCGCGACTCGACTAATGTCAAGTCAAGGTGCAAGAACTCGACGCCTCCTTTTGGAGTCACTCAGTGGGAGACGCTGCAAGACGCGCTGTCAGCGATGCGAAAGCAAGCTACTCGGCGATGCGTGGATCCACAAGTGATGACGACTGGCGGGCCTTGTCTTCTAAGTGGTACTGAATTTGTGCCCGCTTGTACCCGGAATCACGACCAGAGAAAGAGCTGAAAGGGGTTTGAAAATTAATTTTGGACCGAGATAAATTATTTTACACATAGACTACTAATCGCGCTTCCTTTAGCGGGCCTAATGAAATGGGCTAGAAAGTAAAAACCTGGTTTTCGGTACGAAAATTTAAAAAAAAATGTAGCAGACTATTTCGTATGTCGTTTGTTTCGAAAGCGTGCCGCCTTATTACTGGGATACATCCGCGGTACCCAAAGCACGTCGTCTTATACACCAGCGACACATATCGGGCACGAGCACTGCGCTCGTCAACAATCAACCCGTCGACGAATTTCTGGATTCACGTTCGTGGCCAATGAGTGCTTTGACAGAACTTATCATCACTTGGGAATGAGAAGTTCTGTGGTGTGCTTAAAAAGCATGGTGGAAGCTTGGAGCCAACGCCTCCGGTGCCCAAGCACGTCGCAACCGCGTGATTACTCATTTTTCTTCTGAGTTGAAGTGGAAAGCTAAGGAGGAATTAGTTGAAAAATCATCTCATGGCCCCTTTAAAGCGCCTTAATCAAATTCGCGCTTCGGAAACGCAGCAAGGAGCTTAAAAAGAAATGGCACCCTGTTGTTATCTACCAGGTAGCACTGGAATGCTTTCAATCTGCTGTATGTTAATCATCATTGTTTCACCTTGTGCTTTAAATAGTTTTGATACCAATATACGAGACTATTGCTCAAACAGAGTTCGTAGATTTCTTCTCGTAATTTCTGTAAAACCTTCAGTATGGTTTATGGTGCTAAATATGAACACCACACGCGTCGCAGTTGGCAGATAGAGTCCACTCTTCGCCTTGGTGGCAAGCGGCGCCACCAGAAGACTCTTCAATATGCGGCTAACCTCGCAGACCCGGTCTTCGATGCTTTCTATTAGTGCATGAAAATATCCGTCAAACCGGTTATCCGGTTAAACCGGAGGAGAGCGAATCCGGTTACGAAAGCCGGTTATTCGGTTAACCGGATTTTCGAATTCGAATATCCGGTTTGGCAAACCGGTTGTTCGGTTAATCGGTTATTCGGTTTTATTTCATGTATCCTGATGACCAGTACATGAAACAGCATTTCGCGCCCTGTATTTTTGATAAATGAAAACTCAGCAGATCGATTTTTTTAATGCGATAACATTTTTCAGCTCCCCCCCCCCCCCCCCTCCCCGATATCGTGAACCATTCTGGCCGACCCTTCCGGCCTCCTAATTCGCAGTTTCCCCGTTAAATTTAGGGGGAAAATTGTAGTCCCATGCACCAATTCAGTTTCCCCGCTAGAATTAGCGGAAAATCTGAAGCCGCGTGATTTATATATTATTCCAGTTTCCCCACCAAATTTAGCGGCAAATTTTATTTCACGTGACCTGACGTCGGAGGACCAACGAACCAATTCAATTTCCCCGCTAAATCTAGCGGAAAATTGACATCACATGACCTAAGTACTAATTCAGTTTCCCCGCTAAATTTGGCGGGGAATTTGATGCAACGTGACTTGACGTCACGAAACCTACACACCAATTCAGTTTCCCCTCTAAATCTAGCGGAAAAATTGACGTCACATGACCTAAGTACTAATTCAGTTTCCCCGCTAAATTTGGCGGGAAATTCGATGCAACGTGACTTTACGTCACGAAACCTACACACCAATTCAGTTTCCCCGCTAAATCTAGCGGAAAAACTGACGTCACATGACCTAAGCACTAATTCAGTTTCCCCACTAAATTTAGCGGGAAATTTGATGCAACGTGACCTGACGTCACGGCACCTACAAACCAATTCAGTTTCCCCGCTAAATCTAGTGGAAAAACTGACGTCCCATGACCTAAGTACTAATTCAGTTTCCCCGCTAAATTTAGCGGGAAATTTGATGCAACGTGACCTGACGTCACGGGACCTACACACCAATTCAGTTTCCCCGCTAAATCTAGCGGAAAATTGACATCACATGACCTAAGTACTAATTCAGTTTCCCCGCTAAATTTGGCGGGAAATTTGATGCAACGTGACTTGACGTCACGGGACCTACAAACCAATTCAGTTTCCCCGCTAAATCTAGCGGAAAAACTGACATCACATGACCTAAGTACTAATTCAGTTTCCCCGCTAAATTTAGCGGGAAATTCGATGCAACGTGACTTGACGTCACGGGACCTACAAACCAATTCAGTTTCCCCGCTAAATCTAGCGGAAAAACTGACGTCACATGACCTAAGTACTAATTCAGTTTCCCCGCTAAATTTAGCGGGAAATTTGATGCAATGCAACGTGACCTGACGTCACGGGACCTACACACCAATTAAGTTTTCCCACTAAATCTAGCGGAAAAATTGACGTCACATGACCCAAGCACTAATTCAGTTTCCCCGCTAAATTTGGTGGGAAATCTGATGCAGCGTGACTTGACGTCACGGGACCTACACACCAATTCAGTTTCCCCGCTAAATCTAGCAGAAAAACTGACGTCACATGACCTAA